TAGTCGTCGTCGTCGTCGTTTCATTCATTTCCATACGGACACGCTCATTCGATTAGCATACGTGTATGTATGGAAGGAGGAATCATACATATGTATATCTACCCATACACTCATGTGTACAGCTATATGTATCTATCCAAAGATATAGTAGGTATATTTGATTTGTTTAGCATTACGTGTCTGTGTGCCCGCTCATTTGACCCAATTTGTTATGCAAATATTCTGATTATTATTCTTATGGGGCTGCTGTTGTCTTTAGATCGAGACAATTTTCCAGAGGGGTGGGGGGGCGCCGCCAAAGTGAGACAATTTTCCACGCTCCTACGAGTATCCCCAAGTCGAGAAGGTTCTGTCCACTGCTATTGTTCTGCTTCTCATTGTTCGCTCACTCTCTTTGTCTTGGCTGAAAATTTGCATTGCACGATGATGTCATGCAGATGGAGAACAGATACCACAAATAGTATACAATAAAATGCCAAAAATTTACTAAAATCGAACCCACAAAAATTATATGCAACGAAGCGTAGAAGCGTCCTCTTATCGTTCTGAAGAAGAAAGGACTCTCTCTCTCTCTCACTCTCTCTATATGGCATGGCAGTACCGAGTTGAGGCGAGAAATGTCTTAGGCTTTTGGCCACGTACCAACCACAGGGTTTCGTGGGGCGGACCTTACTATCGTGAGGCCTGCCACAAAAGGCAGAAGCATCCAAACAGCGGCAGTAGCACTGGCATTCCCAAATGGAAAATGGAAGTTGGGCGAAGAAAGAACAAGGAGCGATGTGGAAAAAACTGAAACTGGTTTCTCCCTTTTCCTTTTTAAAAACAGTTGCTTGCCACAAATGAGGATCCAGCGTTGCAGCAGCGAAGACAGTGGGCTGGAATGCTACGAGTGGTGGGGGGGGGGGGACGTAGAACGTGGAAGACAGGGACACACCTCTCTCTGTCTCTCTCTCTCTGGGCAGAGGCCCACCCACTCTGTCTCTTTCTCGAACATTTTTTTCTTTCTTAAATTGCATTGCAAATGTTTTTTGTTTCTTCTTCTTCCCTTCTCCTTCCTTCCTTGGTTTTTATAGCTTTTTGGCAAATTTGTTCATTTTTCTAATTTCGCTGATTTATGGACAGACACCGGGGAGATGCGCTTTGCCAGAGGAGGGACCCTCCAAAGATCCTGAACGCCTGATGCCTGAACGCCTGATGCCCCTCTCAGAATCTCAGTCCCAACGGACTGACTCACATGACCTGCCTGAACTTGGCTGTAATGGCTTTTTATTAGCCAGTCGTCGTTGTTGTTGCTGTTGTTGGCGTTGTCGTTTGCTGTTCATCATTTATTTTTGCCATAAAATGTGTCTGGATATTCTCCAGTCCAGACCAGACCAGTCCAGTCTCCTCTTCCCTTCTCCAACATCTTCATCTTCATCTTCATCTCCAGCTCCATCTTCGGTTTCTCCGGCGCAATCGGCATGTTGCACTTGACTGATGGCAACAAAAATATTCGTCCAAAAAATGAAGAGTGCTCAAAAAAAATGAGTCGAAATTATAGGAGTTTTGGTTCGCTCTGTTGCTGCTTTTCCCCAAGTTCGTTCCGTCGTTTTCGTTAAGCAAATCCTTAAAATCCTCATTACTACCCCATTATTACTATACAGATTAAAAGAAGCATATCCACTTCCCCTAAACTTGGGCAGAGGAACAGAAAGAAACTGCCATTCTTCTAAGACTTATTTGAATAAGATTACAAATTCCTGAGATTTATTTCTGTAGATCTTTTTGGTAGATAAAGTTTATTTTTTTCAATCCGTAGTTAAACAGGAAAAAGTTAGTGGTAGAAGTTAGTTCGGAACAAGGCGCTGCTCTATGGCGGCTGTTTGAATTGAAACCATGAAGAATATTACTTTTTAGATCTATTACCTAACTGGCAGTCAAGTGCAGCTCCGACTGAGGTATTAATTGCATTCGCAGTGCCAATTAATCTGCCCGATAATCGTATTAATTGCCGGTTCTGTGGAGACACTCATAAATATTGCTGCCACAGACAGAGACAGCGACAGAGACAGCGACAGCGACAGAGAACTGTCCACTTTGTGGGGAGATATCTCAGAGGACTGATGTGGTGTGGGGTGGGGCGGGATGCTGCATCTGATCGGGCCGATGCAATGGCTAAATGGGATACAATCCTTTACCACCAACACCGAAGCTAGTTGGAAATAGAATGCGAAAAGCAATCAAAATGCAAAAGGAACAGCTGGCTATCGGCATTGGACGCTAGCGAGGAGCAGCAAGCGTGACACGTGACTCACGGGGAGTCCTGCAAATGGGGGAACTCCTGTAATTTTCAGCCTGTTATGTTTCAGCCTGTGAAACAAAGCCAAAGCAGAGCTGTCGGTTTGGCTCCGACTCCTCGGAGTCACTGAGAGCCAACCCAATGCCTTACATAGGATTCCTGTCCAACCGATGTTCGGGCCGAGGCAAAACATCTGCGCCAAACGAACTTTAGATGCAAAAAGGAATCACAGTTGGAGAGGTTGGTGGATCGGAATGGCTAGTAGAGGTAGCTGGTAGGTAGGCTGATAGGCAGGCGGCAGGCGGCAGGCGGCTGGCAGACGCAAACAGGATCAGGAAATTCCGGTTTGCTATTATTTTTATTATAATAATTTTCTTCGCTCCCCCCTGCATTCCGCTCGCAACGTCACCCGCTGCCTCTCCTCCGCGCTCCTCTCCTCACCAGAGGAGATTCTTCTGAGGATGTGAAGCTCTTCTAATGCCAAAAACGAGAGAGAGAGAAGGAGCGAGAGAAACAGGAATCCGCGACTCAAAAGAACATTGAAAGACGATACCTACATTCTTCGGTTCGGCTCGGTTCGGTCGCTCGCTTCCAGCTTCCAGCCCCATCTCCATCCCCATCCCCATCCCCATCTCCGTTCTCATCCAAAGCCCCATTCTGGATTGGTCAATCCGAAGTGCAGCTTCTTCTTGCCTCTCCACCCATGTCCCCCGTCCCCCTGTCGCCAAGCCTCTTGTCTCTTCAGTGTGTGTGCCTCTGGTGTGGTGTCTCCTTGAACTGGCGCTGCTTGGCGATCTGGCCGTGACTCGTTTGCTATTTTTATAATCAGCAAGATCGAAATAAGTGGGCAAATATGGGGTATACTCATGGCAAAGATAGACAAAGCAATACGTATATAGATACCCACAGAAAAGGATCAAGATAGATCATTATTATCATCCACATATAGTAGATTATATAAAGATACGGGATTCAAGGATAATCGCAACGATTCATTGATTCTTTGGTGACATTTTGGTTCAAGGGTACCCTTCAGGTCGAGCCACCTCCTCGCAGTCAAGCCCGTCCGCCGTCTCTGCGCCCCAAGGATACTAACCAAAAATAAAACTACTGAAAAGAATCTGCCTTACTTCTCAACTGCCTCCTAATGTGAGGACCGTTGGGTGAACAGGTTCTCGCGCGATCTAACTTTGATCTCCCCTCCCTCCCCCTCGGTAGCTCCACTGGATCGGATCGGATCGGATCGGATCGGCTCTGCCATGCTTTGCTCGACTCGACTCGGCTCCCACCTGGTTGGGCTGCTCTTTGGATTATTGATTGCTCTAGGTCTCTGGGCAAACGTGTGCCGTGGCATTGGCAGTGGCAGTGGCTCCCCACACCCCACACCCCACACCCCACTCCCCACTCCCCACTCCCTATCTTCTGTATATCTCCCACTGTGGCGCGCATTTGTCGCCATGGCAAGTATTTGCTTTTCCACTTTGCATTTGCCGTCGAATTATTATTTATGGGACTGCATCTAATTTAAAGGAGAGGAAAGACCGAGACCAATCGGAAGGATCGTATTGGATGGGCGAAGAGAAAAGGCAAGACCAGATATGGCCCCTGGGCCATTGATGTCTTTGTTTATTGCTCCGGTTTCTATTTCTGTTTCGGCTCGATTCCGTATCGGGGGTTTTCTTTCTGTTTCTGTTTCTTTTTTTGTTAGTTTGAGGCGAAGACATGTGTCTGGCCTTAGCCAGGGGCCAGTAACTAATGCTAATTAGACATTTTCTACATAGGAGTAAACGGCAAGAGATGGAGTGCATTCCCATGCACACATTTTTCCAATTGACAGAAGCTCCAAGGGAGAAATCCAATCGCCAGAAACGTGCAGACAAGTGTATCTAATTTTAGTTTTAATTCTAATTAGGTCGTCCGTTCATAATGTTTTCGAACTGATTAGTCGAAAAAGTTACTCAAATCAAGTGGATCCAGTTGTCTGCTGGTGGGTGTTGCCATTCTGATGAGCTCTGGTGCTTTGGGTACAAGTAAAGCCAAGTACATGGACGAGGATGACATGTCGCCGGACACCAGGCATGGCTGACAAGGAAACTGAAACTCCAGTTGCGGTAGTGGGGATGAGCAATAGACACAAGATATTCCACGATGAGCATTTTGATGTTAGGATATACATATGTATTTGTCGGAGGGATCGCCACGGATGGAACACATTGAGCGTCTAGTCGCTGGTTGGTATTTGGCCAATATTTGTATGCCAGATAACTCAGTCGCTAAATGCTGGTGGAATAAAGGGAACGGCTTACACATCGAGGACTACACTACATAGTGGGTGGATGGGCCACAAGACCATACTTCGTCAAGGACGTTTGCACAAAGTATAGGCCGCGACCTCCGACATCGTCTTCAGAGAAGACTTCAAAGAACAGAATTAATTAGGTACTATATATATATATTTTACGGTGGCTTCAGCTGTTGAGGCCTTCATCAACTTGTGTTTAGTGGGTCACTGGGAAATTGCGATCAAGAAATGGGGTTTTCGTGGAAGGATGATGGAGATCTTTCGGAGATCCTCCTTGCACCAGACGGATCACTTAGCTTACAGTTTAATGTGGTCTTTGCGGTAGATAAAACAATCGAAGAGGCTACTGAAAATATGTTTTGGGAGTTTGTCATTTGCTTTGCCAGTCAGTTAAGGTTCAGCAACACAACTGGATAGTACTACCCAAATTCTCAAATTTACTTTATCGGATTCAGAAACAATGCCAGAAGGCGCAAACGTCACGATTGCCACAAATCGTGGGGTCTATGGAAATTGGGGGGCAACCACATTACCATTTTCTATGTAAGTACGAGTATTTGCCTTACCGTGTACAATATTTTGTTCAAAATTTAATAGATTCGGAAGTCTGAACACATGGCTGTTGATTCTGTTTGTGATTGTGCTCGTCAATGTCAATCGAAAGGGTCTGGTCCAGGGCTCACGCTATTTAATTTTCAAGATATTTTGCTATTTAATGGTGAAATATCTAAAGTCCATATATGATTTCACGCCGGCGGGCACGAAGAAGAAGACCCTGATCGTAGATATGAATATTCTGATATCAACCGTGTTCGTCAAGAAGGGAATGCACTGGGAGAAAGAGCTAGGTGTGCCACACGATTTTACAGTCGAGGTACCCGAATATGGGGGCACAATGCTGATCTACAAGCGGCCCTTCCTTGACCACTTCCTTGAGAAAGTGACCAGATGGTACAATCTGGTCATATTCACCGGTTCACAGGAGAACTACGCCACGGGCATGCTGGACGTCTTGGATGATGAGGGAGATCAACGATATCAACGCTTGTATTGCCGCAACCCAAGACGTCTCTATGGACGCGATGCCATTGTACTGGATAGCACACCTCCGTCCCTCTGTTTCTATCGGGCAAACACCATATTTGTCTCCGCCTATATTATCGGCGACTGGGACCGTACACTTCTGTCCCTACTGTGCTTCCTGGACTCCCTACGCTTCGCCGATGATGTCCGTTCATAGTTGAAGTCTGGCTGGAAATTGAAATGATTTGTATTTTATTATTTATGTTAATTTACCATCAAAAAGGGAATAGAGTAGTCCCTGTGAACCCCACAACTGTTTGACCTTGACCTAGTGGTTGACATGAACATCCTTCATCTTTTCACCGTAAAATTTGGATTGGAATTCGTGTCGAATTGGGGTCCCGCTTGGTTCTGCTCTGCTCTGCTTTGGTCAGCTCCGATCTAATGCATTTCACGAATGCCAACGAGTGACTTATTGACGCAGCATGAGGCGACTCCAAGCTGCCACTGGAATGGAGTGGAGTGAGCCGGAGGAGATAGGGATGGGGGCCCAGTCATCAGGCAGCTCACGTACGCAATTGTGCTTGATGATTGGAAAGAAAATACCAAAGTCAGTGACACAGACAGAGCCAGAGACAGGGAGCCTGAGAGACACCGTTGACAACGCCTTGGAGCTGGGACGAGATTATTGGGCCACCGCCGAGGCCGAGACTGGAGCTGGGACTGGGGCTGAAAGCATAGTTCATTCAGCAGGCACAATTCCACGAAAGTGATTGATTACAATCAGCGGCGGATCGATCCAGCTAAATGTAATACAATGTAATGCAAGGCAAGGCAGCGATCAATTAAAACCGACTGATGATGATCAATTATCGGCAAAAGATGAAGACCAAAGTGAAGAAGCTGCGACCGAGTTGATCTCGATTCCTCCAGTCTCGATGGCAGAGTCATGCCCCAACTCCAAGAAGTCCACCAACCAGCCACCAGCCACCAGCCACCAGCAACAGCACTTGATTCAAGCCAAAGCGAAACTGACTGTCCGGATCTGTCCCACATGTCTATGTGTCTATGATGACGACAATGACAATGGCAATGACGCTGACGATGACGATGACGATGATGACGATGACGTTGGCCAGTCATCGTCATCCTTCTTTATATTTGCTGCTGCTGCGGCTGTGGCTGTTGCGGCTGTTGCCTGTCATTGTGGCAGTTGTTGTTGCAACAATTTTAACACATCATAAAGCTGCTTAAAGTGTGCTCTGATACCAGCTCTTCTGTCTATTGCCGGTTGCAGGTCTTAGACATTACATAACTAGCCACCGCCGCCGCCTATGGACCTCCGACTCGACACCGACAGTCGATCGGACTGACTTGGACTTTTCAGCAGGTCAAAGAACTTGGCCATCAACAGGGGAGCCATCATTTTGTCAAAAAGAGTTTGATTGGAAAAGGATATGCGTGACAAGGAGAGTAGAAGTAATATAATAAACGAATGAATAATGCCAATTATCATGTCACATTCAAGAACGCAGTAGCAGAAAGTCTTCGGGATGGCAACATTGTTTTAGTGGATTTCAGTGCCGCCACTCTTTAGCCAGAACTTTTTCTCTCAGTGCTGGTGGTGGACCCCACATGATCTACGGCTGCGCTAAGGATTTTATGAACTCTTTGGACACAGCCACAAACCCAGCAAGATGATTTTTAAAGCTTTCTGTGTGTGTGTTTTATGCCTGGTTTTATGTCAAATGGACAAATGACTAATTGTGTGGCACTTAAAAGAGTCCAAACAATCTATGATATTTATATTTATTGGATATTGGATATTGGATATACTCGGATGTATGAGTAGACCATATATAGTTTATGATCTGCCATTCTTTGTCTAACACGGAGGGAGATCGTCTGCGTGCAGCCGTAAATCAATAATTTGTTAAGAGGCGCTAGCCGCTCGGAGAGCCGGTGTGGAGAGCAGCTTGTGAAAGCAAGTTCGTTGCCTAAGTCTTTTGTTTGTCTGGGCAGCAGGGAAACTGCTCTGCTCCTCTGCAACATAACACAGCGCAACAATAAATCAGGCCGGCATTTATATTGATATTTCAGTGCTGTGTGCTCTGATCGCATTTTGAAAGTATTTAAACTTTTTGGGAAGCCATATCAAGTGATTTGTGAAAGGAAGCCCGTAGCTTGTATGCAAATTATCGCTGCTTCTTCTCTCCTTTTCTCCCAGAGAAGAAAAACAAATAGCTGAACCGACAGCGGCAGACAGCTGGCAAGACAGACGGAAAATAAGCAAACGGAAAAAATTGTAAATCACAGAAGTGCAGCTGCAGCGGCAAACATCGTCGCCATCCCATCCATCCTCCCGATTCCCCAGTCCCGAGTCCCGGCCACAACCCCATCGACTATCACATAGAATTTGCAAGCAAACTTGGTTCTGAAGATGAGTCCGTGATTGAGTTGAGTGCCTCGTGAAGAGCGTAGCGAGAGCTGACACTGAATGGATTCTTTTCGGGTTTAAGTAGAGTAGAGTAGATTGAGAGTTTCACGGAGAACATTAAGGATACCTTGCCGGGACTTCGTAAGCAAAAATCGATTTATTTATGGTCACGTAAGGTTCTAGGAATGTTCGGAGCCAACTAAGCTCGTTTTTATTCCTTCAATAGTTCTAGAACAGACGATCACTGGAGATATACGATTTTCTCTCTGTTCATGCGTTAGTCCTTTGATTGTGAGGGATTTGAGGCTCTCCTGGGGTAACTTCAACAAACCTAAAGATGATTGGCTCTGAATGTGGTGTCACAGACCCATCTCTAGCACCCTACCCCAGAGAGATTTGCTTTTTTCTGTTGTGTCCGGTGAACGTTGGAACGTTGTCAAATCGAGCAGTGATTTGTCTCCCAATCGGTAGTCGGCCAAAGGCAGTCCGGGGCTGGGTCTCTGGATGGGTCTGGCTCTGGGGTCTCTGGATAGGGATGGGGATGGCAATGGGAGAAGTCTTTTCACCAGCCGCTAGGCCAATTGACACTTGAGTGGAAGCTGCTTTGGCTGCTTCTCCTTCTCCATCTCCATCTCCTCCTGCTTGTGCTTCTGCTCAAGCCTCATCATCTACTTATGCAGCAGCTGCTGGATGAGATTCTTAGACTGGAGACTGCAGGCTGCTGGCTGGTGGCTGGTGGCTGGTGGCTTGCTGCTGGCAATTTATAAACGAAATAAATTCAATTGACTTGTTTGCCGCAGCATTTACAGTTGGCAACAATTGCAGCAATGCCATAAATCGTTGGACAAGCATTCGCCCCCCTCTGCACTCTTTGGCACAGCACTCTCCTCTTTCTTCTGGCCACCGCGTAACAATAAATTTTCAATGCAAACAAGTTGGGGAAGAGTCGTATCGTCGTCGTCGTCGTCGTCGTCGTATACGTTGTCTCCATCTTCCGATTCCAAGACCAAGTCCAACAGCAGCAGCCGCCTCAGTATTTGTTATTTGAATTTCGAAAATTATGGCCACAAATTTGTTTTATTGCCAAAGTCAAGGCGTGCAATCATTAAATGCAACAGCATGCGGTCTCTGGTCGGTCTCTGGTCTCCAGGCACCTGGCTCGACTCGGCTCTGCTCAGTCGAGGATCTCCTGCTCCGGCTCCGGCTCCGGCTCGGTCTCGGTCTCGGGCCTGGTCTACATTGCTATTGCTGTGATCTTGGCTCTGTTCGTTGTGGCTCAACTTGAATTATGCCTTGCACTAAAAGCGTTTCAACTAACTTAAATATGAGCACATCATTAGCCTAAAATTGTTAGTTTGCCGACTTGGTCATGGCCAAGACACCACTCCGCTCCGCTCCACTCCGCACCACTCCGCACCACTCCGCTCCACTCCTCACCACTCCGCACCACTCCGATATCCCCTCTCCACTCGCCATGTGGCACTGAAGTGTTGCAGCTGCAGTCGTTGCTGTGTGTTTCTTGTGTGTGCATCATAATGTCTGATTAACACGTGCGCAAATTATAAGATTTTATGCATTAGCCACAGATATCAGACGAGAGTGCTGGCCTGGGCCAGATAAAAGGAAAAATGCTCAACTTGCCGCACTCTCGCACTCTCATCATTCGACTCGAAGAGACTCCCCAGTTACAGTCCTCTGCCCCGAGTCCAGGCATTATGGGTTGATGTTTTATGCATGTGTTGCACGCACGCACACCTGGACATCGTCATACCCATACCCATGCCCATCCTCATCTCCATGGCCAGCCACAGCCCCAGCCAAAGCCCCAGCCACAGCCCCAGCCACAGCCCCATTTTTATTCACATCCTCATCCGGGTGGTGGCTCAGTCTTGAACACTTTATTAGAAGAGACTCTCGCATTCAATGCATTTTCCAGCTTTAAGTATGGGATGGATTTTGGTTTCTGTTGGCTCTGGCTCTGGCTCTTGATTATTCCTTTGTGCTCGTTGTGCTCTCTACAGGGGGCGTGTCCGAGTGTGAACGAAGCTCAAATGACCCAGATCTTTAGTTAGATTCCATGTGCATCATATTATTCAATATCGTTTAAGAAAATCGCCATGTCTGATCAGCGGTTTGTGGAAAAGTGCAAAACGGAAAAGCACAACGAGAACGTCGGGGAGGGGCAGGAGACCGACGATTCGGAATTGGGTAAAGCAAAAGACTGCCTGTGTACTCGTACTTCCAATACAATACCATGTGAAATTTGTACAACTAAATGGTTCTGGGGGAATACTTTAATAAAGCCAAATAGTCTGGTAAAACGAATCAGCTCTCAAGCTCAAACATTTTGGTAATACGGAGGAAAGTGTTGGGAGATGAAAATGGGAGATGAGAAAAGAGTCTGTTGAATAGGACAAGGCGAAAGCCAAGACGGTTCCAAATTAAACCCAACAGAAAATGTGCACTTAGGCCCTGAATTTCGCAAAACAATGTACATATATGTATATCTCAAGGGAATACCGCTTTCGCTTCAACCAACAGCAGATCATTTGGCTACTCTTACCATGATTTGGCCCATGAACGAGTGCGAGTACTCCCCCAGATGCCAGTCGGTTGTGGTAATCGAATTTTATGACAATTCCATTAAACGGTCATTTACCAGAAGGCAAACTGTTCGGACAGATATAAACCAAACTGCACTAAAAGGCCAAGTAAAAACCCACCTGGGATGGCATTCACATCCACATCCACATCCACGCCCACGCCTACACCCTGGGGCA